AAATAAAATCCCCTGGGATCACAATGTCTATCACACCCTCTTCTCTCTTGAAGAAGGTGAGAAGTAGAGGATATTGGCAATGGGGAGAGACAAGAGATTACAACCCATTACCTTTAGAAAAACTAACCTAGGGAAGATTCCTGTTAGCTTTAAACTCTCTGACCCCGCAATTGCCTTAAGATTTAAGGCGAAGATCGGAGAAGGACAAATTATGACACGCTTAACAAGGAAACATCCTCATCCTCTGTCTCCCAAAGAAGACGAGTCTCCGTTTGTTGGAACACAACCAGCTAAAAGAAGGAAAATCCTCAAATCAGACAAAGTCTCTGCGTCTGATGCTGAAGATGACCAACCCATTGGGATGGACTTGAAAAGAAGGGGTCTCTGCGTCTGATGCTGAAGATGACCAACCCATTGGGATGGCCTTGAAAAGAAGGGCTCCCATACCATCTATCGCGCCACCTCAACCTAAATGAAAAAGGAATGTGACGATCGTTTCAAAAGTGGTTGCACCAGAGAATTCAACATGCTCCTCTCCACATATGACTAAACAGGCGGTCACTACTGAACCAGCAGCTGGAGTCATCATCCCTTCAGCTTCGACAAAGACTCCAAAGGAAGTTCCTTCCTCTCGTCTAGTCACTGTACATTCTCCCTTCGTAAGTGACACTCTCATCCTCTCTCTCTCTCAATCTCTTGTAAAACTTACCTAATCATAAATTTCCTCATAGGTTGTCACTGTACATACAAAAATATTGAGAAATAGAAAAATGGTATTCCAGAGTGATCGTATGATGTTGCCTCCAGGGCCTTCTTTCTTTCCATCATTATTTCTCCTTGAACTAACAAACTCACTACTTCTAGAAGGGATGCCTCCAAACACTGATGAATACTCACTTATTTATCGTAGGGCAGAAAATCCAGAGGGAAAGATAGAGTTTCTTTAATCCATCCACCTCACCACTGATAGGGACATCATGAAGAAAAACAACGTTGGTCTGCGTCCAATGCCATGACCTTACATTATAGACAGGACAATAAGTGTGTTTTGTGGTCGTTATCCCATCGACTAGGCAGGATTTTAGATCTTGCAAACACCTACTACACACGTCCTGGGGTACTACAGACTAGTGTACTCTTGGCTTGAGAAAGGTTCAACCATAATGAACGTATTAGGGAACCCTCTGCGTGATTCACATGGGAATACTCATAAGTATGAAGCCATTCTGTCCAACAAGCCAATGTATGGACCTGAGTACTATTACCTAGAGCAGTCTCCTCCTCCTGCTCCATTCTCCATCCTTGCTTGACCACCTGCTTTTCGACTTAAGCAAGAATCTCACTCATCCTCTTTGCCCTCCTGCCAGACTGTAGAAGATCTGCCCAGACATCCTCTGTCTGTGTATTTTCTGTTGAAACAATTTCCTGCACTTACTGTCACTGACCCTCATGGTCAAACAGTTGAAGACTCCTCCCCAACCTGTCCAAATTCTCTTCCCGTGCCAGAATCTGAGTATGAGGAAGGAGCGTATGAGTGCACACCATATTGCCCAGATGTATCTTTCTCTCCATCTGAGGCCTATCTGGCTCTTCCATCTGGTGCCATTACTACACTTCCCTGACCAACCTTCAAGAGAAAGATATATCCAGTAGGGGTGATTAAGTCAAAACTTGCATGGACTCCACCACAGGGGACTCCTCAACTCATTCCTCCTCTCCATCAACAATCCATACCTTCCACCTAACCAAGAAAGTGATCATCTCTTCTACCAAGGGTAGAATTATTTAATTCTCCTAAAAAAAATTTCCCTGTACATATTGGCCACTATCATTCCCTTTCTGCATCAGACTTTACAACATTTGGTCACCTACGTCTATCTATAGATACACCATTACACTTGTACATACCTCCTTCTCTATACACTCCAGTAGAAACACAAATTTATATCTATCCTGATTGTATTTGCCGTGTCTTCCTCCAATTGATCGAAATAAAATGAAGGAACCTGCACTATATTTGGTGTCAATGCCCAAGCCATCAAAGGTTGAGGTTTACTTCTATAAAGGAGTACAATCGGATTGGGAACAAGACCCTGTCAGAGCACTGATCTACATCGAAGATGATGCTGAGAAGCTCTATCAGAACTTCATGTACAAATGTAGTCAAGAAGCAAGCTCATCTGGTCTCTTAGACGATGAAAAGAAAAAGACACTCATGCTGCGTGGGTATCGCTGGATGACACCGTTCAAAGTAATACACTTCAGCGACACATCTGCTGCCTTTCTTAACAGACGACGAGGGCTTGACCTTGATGCTTTCATCAAAAGATATTTCATTTATTCCGTGCTCTTCAATCTCGGCCTATACAAATATGAGTGGAAGGAGGTTATAGACACATGGCATAAGGTTGAATATAAATGGTGCAAGGACATTCCACCATGGAAACCTGGTATGCCTATGCCTTGGGATGCCACTTCCGAAGATGCAAGAACCAAATCACACACATCCGAGCCTATTTCTACTGAACCAATATCTGTGCCTGCCCCTCTGGCCATACTTCAATCTACCCCTGAACCAGCACAACAATATGTCTGGATTGAGGAATTCAACAGGTTCATGACTGACCTGGACAACAAGTTTGACAGCTTTTTTAATCTGATCGCATCCAAGCTTCCCAACGATCCTCCTCGGTCTTGATGATCATATTCAGGGAAGATAGGAAAGCTCGTGCAGAATTAGGAAAAGGACAACAATATGTATTTCTTTTTGAACACTCCTTTTTGTACACACTTATTATTATTCGATGCACATTATGTTATTTCATCCTCGTCCATTTTTTTTATGATTACAAAAGGGGAGAAATAGAAAAGAAATTAATCAAATAAGTGTTAATAATTGAATAAAAAGTAAGGGATAATCGAGTGAGGGGGAGAACATACACTCAGGGGGAGAGTTACGTTTACTAAATAACATAATAAACAATAGGGTTATAACTAAAATCGAGCAATTCAAGTTCAAGTTCAAATCTTCATGTTCTTGTCTCAAGTTTCCAAGGTTTATCTGAAACAATCTTGATTAATTACATTTCTCATCATCAAAAGCGGGGAGATTGTTAAGTCAGACGAAGAAATTCCCAAAAAAGGTTTTAAGTAAGACAAATATAATATATGTTGTTATCTCTAACAAGTGAGTTAGTGTTTCAGAAAGACATAAGAACAGGTAAAATGACGAAGAGACATAAACATCAGACGCTACAAAATGAAAGGCCAACATAAGCACTTAACAAGCCAAATCAAGAACAAGACCATGCCAAGCGTAATCTAGGGCAACACATAAAGACCTAGACGAAATATGGTCAACGACCAAGAAGAAATTCCAGAAGAGATTGAAAGTCTGACCATATACAAGGTTGATCAAGACGAAAGGAAAAGTCAATACGATAATGATCAGACGAAGGTCTAAGTAATGAACTAAATTTTAACTACCAGATGTAAACGAAGAATGACATGCAATCACCTGAGAAATCAAGATTTGAATATCGTCTACACTCACAGAAGAACACACGAAGCCATTCAAATTATTAAAAGAGAAGAAGAAAGGAGAAGAGCATGATCAAATGCTAAATCATGCATATGTCAGAAAAAGTACATCACTTTTTTAGGTAAGGACAAAAGCTTCACAGCTAGAGGGTCAGAAAAGGACAGAAGTTTCCTAAGACTCTGCTACATTCTGATACAGCTACTAATTGAGTAAGAAAACTTCACGCATTTTCTATAAACGAGAAGCAACATTTAATGCACGAATCTGAGAATTAAATGGGAAGATCAAACTGGTCATAAATGGCTATATTTGCTTCAACGGACAATTGTAACGGGCAGATATCCACTAGACCATATATATCACTATTTCAAACCTTAAGAGGTTGGCTTTTTGATTGGAAGAAAAAGAGTGATATCAAGCCCACGAGATTGAGACCAGAGATGAGCATACGTAGTCATATGTTCAATGTAATATTGTAACTTTATCTCTGTAGACTAAGGTGTTTGAAATGTCAGTGATGGACTAAACCTTAGTGAGTGTTGTAAACTTTTTGTATCCTCTCCATGAGTGTAACCCCCACACTCAAAATCTCTATAAAACTAAGGTATCAAACCTTAGTGAGTGTAAGAAATTCCCAATCCTCTTTGTGAGAGTAACCCAAAACAGTCAAACTCGACTATACAATTATCAACATTGCAAAGCCTGAAGAGGCTAGGAAAAGAATACTTGTAAAGCCCGAAGGGGCTTGTCAAAGAATTCTCACTACTAGCCAGAAGTTGCTGATAAGAAAATACTAGCGTTGGTGAGTGAAGTCGACAGGCCAGGAGTGGTCGAGAATACTTGGAGAACCAGAAGTTGTTTAAGATTATTAGTGTTGGTGAGTGAAGTTGACGGGCCAGGAATGGTCGAGAATACTTGGATCAGGAGTCGTTCTAACCTAGGTGGTTCATAATGCTCATTGCTAACCTGAAGAGGCTGAGAAGAATATACTAGTGTTGATGAGTGAAGTCAACGGGCCAGAAGTGGTCAACAATACTTGTGTACTTCATTTCATATCTAGTGGAACCCTTCAAGTTGAAGGAGACTGGACATAGCTTTGTTGAGCGAACTAGTTTAAAAATATTTCTTACTTTACTTAGACGCAAATCTTCCTTACTGTTTAAACATTTGTGAAACACTTCGTCCATTGTTCATATATCTTTAAAATAACTTTTAGACGAGGATGTTAACTTTGCTTGACAAACTTATTACACTAAAAGATTTATCTATTAATTATCCTTAAATGAAAATATCTTGAAAAGCAGAATGTAAGAACTTTAATTATTATTTTTACGAAACATTTTCCCTAGTGGACGATAAATGCTTCAGACGCATTGATCATATGTTAAGCAAACTCTACATAATCATCTGATATTCAAAAGTGCACTGGACGAAGGACATCACTTTTGCAAAAATGTTTTTAAAATTCCTTGTTCACACACAAATACACATATTTAACCCTCCTTCTATGTGTATTTCCGCTAACTTTAACTTTGAGTTGCCCTATGAGTTCTTCTAGCAAGAGTTTTTTGAGGTTTTTGGACACTCTTAAAGCTATATCCTGTGATCTCCACTTCCTGGGTAAACTACGAAGCAGCTTGTCAATGTGATCAAAATTATCATAAGTTCTACCTAGAAAAGAGAATTCATTTACAATAGTTTGGAATCTTCCAAACATATTTTGGATAGACTCATTCTCTTCCATTTCTAAGAGTTCATACTCATGAGCCAACAAGCTTAACTTGTTGCGTTTTACCTTCATGGATCCCTCGTAGGTCAGAGCTAGGGTATTCCACATTTTCTTGACACTCTTGAAGCTGTGTACTTTGGTGTACTCTTCCTCAGATAAAGCACACATGAGTGCATTTCGGGCTTTGGAGTTCAACATGAATCTTTGTTTTTGTTCTTCATTCCACCGTGCTTTAGGTATTTCTTTGCTAGCCTCATCAAGTGGAATGCAGTTTCCTTGTTCTACAACATCCCACATGTATATATGACATGCGTAAAAGAATGCGATCATTCTTTATTTCTAGTAGTCGTACTTTGTTCCTCTAAAGAGAGGTGGATGGTTCACAGCCTGTCCTTCATTTTCCATCGATCATTATGAACCCCTGTAGTATTAGATGCTCAACCCAAGGGGTCAACCTTTGATACCAATGGAAGTTAGTAGAAAAAAACACAGAAGGGAGGGAGTTGAATGTGTATGTGAATGAAGGAATTTTAAACCGTTTTCTCGAAGAGACTCTTTTTTGTCTAGTAATGATAATATGTTGAACACTTTAATGAAGTTGCATGGAAAACACATAGAAGGGGGGTTGAATATGTGTATGTGTGAACAAAGGTATTTTAAAACATTTTCACAAGGGACTTGTTCTTCGTCCAATAAAAACATTACTTTGAACGTTTAACTAAAATTGTGCAGGATTGGTTTCAACAAAAATCATTGCATCTGAAAGTTTATCGTCTGCATAAGGAAAATGCTTTTTAAACGAAAACCGTTCTTTAAGATAGTTCATTAAATAGATGTGGGTTTCGTTTGAAGATAGTTGTAATGGACGATAAGCATTGGACGAAGTTTTCAGTATAGTAACTCGACTAAATAAAAGTGTGTCTGAAACATTGGAAAATAGTGCAAGGATTTTTATACAGGTTCACTCAAACTAAGCTATGTCCAGTCTGCTTCAAATGAAGGGTTCCACTAGATATTCAATGAAGTACAAGTATTTGGTGTTCAGCCTCTTCAGGCTTGCAGTGAGTATTATAGACCACCCAGGTCACGACCACTCCTGGTCGGCCAATTTCACTCATTGGCTCTAATATTTTTTAATCAGCTTCTTGAGGCTAGCACTGAGTATTCTAGACCACCCAGGTCACGACCACTCCTGGTCCCAAGTATTCTCAACCACTCCTGGTTCATCAACTTCACTCGTCGACACTAGTATTCTTTGCTCAACCACTTCTGGCTCTCAGTGAGTATTATCGACCAACTCCTGGCCCGCTAACTCCACCATTAACGCTAGTATTCTTTGATCAGTCACTTCTAGCTCTTAGTGAGTATTGTTGACCAATTCCTGGCCCGCTAACTTCACCATTAGCACTAGTATTCTCTGTTCACTAGTGGAAAAAAGGCTTTTAAAATCGGTTATTTTTAACTTTTAAAATCGATTCCGTAATTGATTTTAAAAGAGCCTATTTTAAAAGTAGACTTTTAAAATCGGTTAAACAACCGATTTTAAAAGTTAACTTTTAAGATCGGTTGTTTTATAACCGATCTTGAAAGTCTAGGTGGTGAAAAAAATTAAACTGGAAAGGGTCGTTCCAGGCTGTTAAAAAGGCCTAATAAGTTAACTTTCAGTACGGGCCGTTCTCCATCAAGAACGGGTCGTTCTCCCTGTAGAATGGGCCGTTCTCCCTGTAGAACGGGCTGTTCTCCCTACAGAACAGACTGTTCTCCTTGCAGAACGGACCATTCCAGATTCAAAATTTATCCAAAATGAACCTACAACGAAAATAGAGACAAGAGAAAAGCATGAGAAAATGAAAAGAGACACAAGAAGAGCATAAGAAGACGAAAATGAAAACAAAAATGACAACAAAATTTACCTTATTGGAGACTTTAGAAAATGAGAGCGTTAGAGAGTAAAAAAAGGAATGGAAGGAAAGATTAAGGAGAATGAGAATTGAGGGAAATATAAAAGGTTTCTGATGATACTTTTAAAATCAGTTATTTAAGAACCGATTTTGTATACAACATACAAAATTGGTTCTGAAATAACCGATTTTAAAAGTATCATTTTTAAAATCGATTCTTAAATAACCAATTTTAAAAGTAGCACTTTTAAAATCAGTCATAAAAGAACCGATCTTAAAAGTACTTTTAAGATCGGTTATTTTATGACCGATCTTAAAAGTTATGTCTGATACAACTTTTAAGATCGGCTCTTTTGTAATCGATCTTAAAAGTTGTGTCAGACATACCTTTTAAGATCGGTCATAAAATAATCGATCTTAAAAGTAATTTTAAGATCGGTTAAATTTTAACTGATCTTAAAAGTGTTCATGTTATTTACCAAATTGTCACCGCGTCACTTTTAAGATCAGTTACCTTGTAACCGATCTTAAAACTGATTTTAAATCCAGTTTTTGTACTAGTGGTTTAACCACTTCTAGCTCTCAGTGAGTATTATCGACCAACTCCTGGCCCGCTAGCTTCACCACCAGCGCTAGTATTCTTTAATTAGCCACTTCTGGCTTGTAGTGAGTATTCTTTGACAAGCCTCTCTAGGCTTTTACAAGTATTCTTTTCCTAGCCTCTTCA